ATCTTGAAATTACGTGTCATAATACCACCCCCGATTAAATGGCAGGCACTCAAAGTGTCCAACTGTCCTCCGCTACGGCGTTAGTACGGCCCTAGCCGCCCGTATCCGTCGTCCACTCGTCCCGCCCCGTACAAAGCACAATCAGCCTCCACTTCCAGATCCGTTTCGGACCACCCAGAACCTGAAGGCGAAGCGCCTCCTCGTTCCTTCGCCACCCAACCAACGGACACGATGCACCCCACGGTTCACCCAACGGCCGATCTCGCCCCCGAGCCCTTCGCGGCAGTTTTTCACCGCGCGCCAGCCGTCAGCTGGCCAGCTTTTACTGCTACCATCACTCCCATCACCACAGGCCATCAAAGCGGTGCACGCGAAAAGCGCGCGGCGAAGGAGGCGGTAAAAAAAGCAGCAGCAGGCGAGTGAGCGGCGACCGCGAGCGCCTCCGCATTTCGAACCAAAGGGGGAAAGGAAAACAGAGGGAGATCGAGAAAAATAAAAAAATCCACCACCGTCTTCGTGTGGTCTCCTCGCCAAACCCTAGCGCCCGCGCCCCCGCCCCTGGTCCTCCGCCCCCACCTTCGCCGTCGCGGTCTCGCCCCCCATGGCGAAGTCGCGGCCGCCCAAGCGGATCCTCGAGTCCTATACCATCATCAAGGGCTCGGACAAAGTCATCAAGCGTGAGTGCCCCCTTTGCCCTGTTCGATCCGGAATTTACGGGGGGTTTTGGGGGATTTTTGGTGGCCTGTGGCGTATTTCGGGATATGTGTCGGGTGTCTCGGTTTCCGGGTCCTGGGATTCGGGGGTTGCCTTTACTTTGGGGTCGATTGATTTCGTCGGAAATGTTTTTGCAATAATCGGGCGCTCTGTTGTTTTTTTGGGCCATTTATGCCTTTACTATGGTTGAAATTTGACCGTTTATTGTTCACTGCTGCCAACTTCGTGTCTAATTGGGGCTTGAATTCAGTTAGCACTGTGAAGGCGTAATCTTCGAGGGGGGTTAGCATCGCGGTGCTTATTACAGTACCATGCTATGCTCTGGTCACTTGAAACCTTTTTTTTTTCTATACCAAGTTCGTTAACGTGAACTCAGCTTGTTGGAATGTTCAGTCTTGTAGGTATTTGTGGATGTGTTCACATCGCATTGGCATCTGTGTATGAACGAGCTCGATTTATACAAAATAGAATTAAAAATAAGGCCATGTTTTGGCATGACTCTAACTCTGAGTGGAGTTGGAGCTGTCTGATGAGGGTGTTTGGCTGGGAGGGTGTCCCCAGCTCCAGAAAAGATGAGTTTGAGGGTAGATTGCCATTCTTGCCCCTGGTTTGACTTGAACTATTTCTCACAAATATGAAATGAAAGTACACCATTGGATAACCGGGCATCTTGTAAGGGATTTGCCATTTCATTTTTAATACTTCAAATGAGTGCTCAATAACATTACGAACAGATGAGTGTATACGGTTGAACTTCTCTTTTGGAGTATTTGGTTCCATACCTCGATGCCATTCGGGTAAGTGGTATCTTTTACCCTTGTATGGAGCTAGGTACCCCGAACGATTTGGATAGCCCGCATCTACAACATAGTACTTGCCTACACATATGTAAAATAAGATAAGTTTGTGCATACGAATATGAAAAAGAACGTAAGCAAAAATATTTACCTTGAGGAGGATGTGGGAAGATATCTACATCTGCTTCAAATGCATGGTACAATACACTAGTGTCATGCAAAGAACCCGGTTGACCCACAGCCACATACGTGAAGCGCATATCAAAATCACAAACGGCAAGCACATTTTGAGTTGCAATTCCAGTCTTACTAATATATCTCACTTGTTCTTCAGGTGATAAAAACACACGAATATGGGTTCCATCAAGTGCACCAATACAATCCTTAAAATGTGGATATGCTCTCTTGTTATTCCTAATCCTCTTGTGCACATTGCGAAAATTAGGATCTGTTGGTCTCAAGAAATCTTGTGCCATGGCAACCACACAATCTAGAATTTCATGAAATTTTCTACTAATGGTTTCACCTAAGTGTTTGAACTTATTTTGTCCTCTTCTATTTGACTCACACCCACCACATGTGAATAGGAAAATAGCCAACATTTCATATGTATTCATGTGTTTCGATGGTTTTAATCCGTACCTCTCAACCAACACATCATGAAGATCATGAAAAATAACCTCATTCATCCGAAGTATTCGATGACACTCCCCTAGAGTGTTTACCGTCTTCATCAGCCATCCCATTCCACTTTGTTGTGAAAACACGAACCTCAAGTGATTGCCTTGTCCATATACAAGTCATGATAACTTTGTGTTAGTTTTTGCCTTTGCTCTCAACCATTTAAAAAAAAATCCCAGCACTAGAATCATCAGACTCACTTGAAGACATCTGTGAACATTGATATAAATGAAATGTAAGATACAAATGCCATACATAAATGAACTACAAGAAAATAAAATGTAGCATACATGCGACAAAAATAAAATGTAGCATACATAAATGACATCACTCTCACTACCATTTCTACTTTTCATATTTATCATTGTACTTCCAACTAAGCCAATTGAACCTAATCTCATTAGTAGGCAAGGTCATGAACATCTCCTTTGCTCCTTCACAAGCAGTTCAGACGCAATGTAATGTTCATTGCTATCATAGCTTGAAGCCCCACAAGCAATCACAACCTCCATCACTTCATGGTGAGAGTATTTTCCATGTCTCTTGAAACATATTCATTCAATTTGAACTTGCCATACTTATTATTGCTTCTTGAATTAGGAGTGCATTTCCAGACTTCACCTTCTTGCCACTTCTTTCAACAGGCCTAGCCAATCTCTTGCCACTTGCAGGTGGAGGAGAAATACCAATATCCTCCTCTTGTGTTCCAGGAATGGAATCATCATCTTGTGGCTCAAAATTGGTTGCCTCATCTTGTGTCTCATCAACATTTTCGGTTGCTTCAACATTCACAACATGAGGAGACCAATGATCAATACTAATAGTAGTGATGTCAGCAAAACACTTGGCTAAGTCATCTTCATTCTCAAGGCCCTTCTTTTTGAACTTTCCACAACCCGGAATGTCCTGAAATAAGCAGAACAACACATTAGTATAAGTATTACCAACAGATTTGTCATATGGAAAACAAATATAGCAAAAATCTTGAACTAACTTACAGCTCTAGCTTTTTTCCACCATTCATCATCCATAGCGATAGTCTTCTTTATAGGATCCCAACCAGTCCCTGTTTGCCTCAGCATTAGTTTCTTCCATGCCTTGAAATCTTCCTTCAACTTGTCCCATTTGTTCTTGATCTGAACCTTGGTAGCCACAATTCCAGTCTTTTCTTTGAACCCTTTCTCAACCTTAGTATAACCAAGTGCATTCAAGTGTGTGTTTGGCCGATTTCCTTTTCCAACTTGTTCGGCAAACAACATACACAGCACTCGAGTGTTCTCCGAGTTCCAATCAATTTCAGGCATCTATCGAACTCACAAATTTCATATTAGAAGGCAAGTTACCTAATTTCTATTACCAAGACTCTAATCTATCCAATCGGCTAATTTCAACCAAACAAGACTCTAATGCTACGAAGCTAGTGCACACTTGAGTTGCTACAATAACGCATCGATCATGTAATTGCATATGACAAATCAGAGCATTGAGCGGCAATAATTTCAGCAAGCAGAGCATCGAGCAGCGGACAAAAAAGGCACCGATAGAAAGAACAGAGCATCGAGCAGCAGATTTGCGGCAGTGGGCTAGGAGACCAAAGAGCACCATACCTTGTGAACGGCGGCGGGGATCTCCTGACGACTTTATGGCCTCTGCGGCCCGTCGGTGGGGAGCTACTGGACGGTGGGGATCTTGGCGGCGGGGCTTCTGGGCAGTGCAGGCCTCGTCTGTGAGCGTGGTGGGAGGCGGAGCTAGGCGGCGGGGGGCTAGGAGACCAGCGACGGGCCTCTGCGGCCGTCGGTGGGGAGCTGCGGCATGGCGGGGATCTCCTCCCATTGCTGCAGGAGGTGCTGGCAGCGTCGGAGGGCTTCTGCGGCGGTGGCGGGCCTCGTCTGCAGACGTGGCGGGAGGTGGAGCTAGGCGGCCGGCCAAGGCGGGCTAGGAGACCGGTGGCCGGGCCTAGGGCGGCCGGGTCTGTGGGCTCGGGCGGCCAGCAATGAGGGGTGGACGGCGGCCGCCGGTCTGCCTGGCGGCGGCGGAAACCCTAACCGCGCCGTTCTCGCGAGAAGAGTCAGGACGGAGAGAGGCGCGGGACTAGGAAAATGGGATGCGCGGGGGAGACTCGGAGAATAGAAGCGACACGTTTTTTTCGTGTAACCAGTGGCATTGGTGGGTAATTACCCATCAACTCCACGAGGAGGTTCAAAAGAGAGGGTTATAGAGCAGCAAAAAAGGTGCTCCAAAACTCCACCTCCATTTGCACTACAGCTCCATAGACTTGGTAGCTCCATGGAGTTTTGGAGTTGGGGTGTTTGGCTGGATTTTTTTATGGAGTTGCTGGAGTTTAGGAGTGGAGCCATGCTAAACAGGGCCTAAAAGTGCAGTAAGCTGTGTTCATGACTGATGTGCTCTTGGATTAGATTATCCACATTTCACTAGTATCTTGGCTCTGTTATTGCGTTTCAGCTTTAGATAGAAAGCTCAATCATGTTTTTGTAATACAGTACTCGCTTCCTCCTTCCACTGTCGTTGGGCAAATTTTGGTATGAGGTCTTCAAAAATAGATTGGACCTTTCTTTTTTCTTGCAAAAAAAAAAAATCAATTATCATAATAGAAGAACTTTGAATACCTCTAAAACAAACACACTTATAATCTGACCTTTTCAAACTAAAATACACCTTATAGAAGTGAAGGATGGAGTATTTTTGTTTATATAAGGCTTTCTCGTTGCTTTGGCGAAGCAGCATAAGACGCCTTTCAGATTTGATAGATTCTTTAAATTGTTTCTTCCAGCTGGTGATTGCGTGCTAATGAGGGCCTCTGATGCATCAAAACCACCTTATGTGGCAAGAGTTGAGGCAATTGAAGCAGCAGGATCCCGAGGCACCAATGTGAGAGTGCGGGTGCGGTGGTATTATCGACCAGAGGAGTCCATAGGTGGCCGGCGGCCATTTCATGGTTCCAAGGAGGTCTTCCTCTCTGACCACTATGATGTACAAAGCGCTGACACCATTGAGGGGAAATGCAATGTCCACAGCTTCCGTAGCTATACAAAGCTTGATTCTGTCAATGCTGAGGATTTCTTCTGCCGCTTTGAGTATAAATCGGCTACTGGCAGCTTCGTACCAGATCGCATAGCAGTGTAAGAACACACTGAGACTTTTGCAATTTCATTATTTTGGATTTGCATTTTTTGTTGCATTTACAATTTGTAGCAAGTTCCATCTAATCTGATCCTTTAGCTTGTGCCATGTGTTTATCTCCTGCCACCTCTAATCCAGCATAGATTAGATTATGCTTCTGGTAGTTAGCTTTAGTTTTTTAAAGCAGCAATTTCCCCTACATGCGCCCCTATTGGATTGCTTATTGGTACTGGGGTTAGACAATTATAGAATTAATAGGAGTAAACCATGTCAAAAATGGATAGCGCTAAAATGCGTCTCCAAATGCAAGGCCTTTTTTTTCTTAGGACGAGAATTTGACTAACAATTACTCACTTAATATGGTACATCTGTGATGCATAATCATAGTCATAATCAAGTACTTTTGAATATGATAATATATCAAGTTTGTGTCAGAAGGTTATGTACTACTAGAGTAATTATTGGTCGAAGGCAGAGGGAGTAACTTGAATTGCAGGGAGTAAGTAGATGATATATGCCCTAATTTTAGTATCATGTCACCTGTAGATAACTCTCACAAGTTTCTTCCAGGATCCCACCATAGTCACAGAAAACAGGGTCGAAGGCATCGACCCTCGACCTGGGAACATCATCCCCGACTTGGGTATTGGGGTTATTCGACCCTGCCATGTGAAAATGTCTCGCGAGTAGCATTCCACGTTCCTTGACCCCGTCGAGCTGAGAACTTTGTGACTATATCCCCACACGAGCCTTTTATTTTAGAAATGGTATTTTCTGTCCGTTCCCAAGGTTAATGAGTCCATAACTCAATTTCATGTATGATACTACATCATCATGAATCTCTTTGTACTAAATAGGAGTAATTCATTTGTATGTGTTCCTATGCATTTGCAATAATTAAAGGACATGGGAATCCAATCATCTTCTCCAGTAGATGGTATTGCTAACTATTGGGGGAATAATAGAGGCACACAAAGGCTCATGTCATGCAAAACATGTTCTTTAGGCTTTTTGTGTGTGTGTGTTTGGGGGTGGGTTGCAACCTAGGACTTATTGGTTCTGTGTTTACAATAGCAGGAGTATTCCAAACAATGCCCTTGCAGCAAGTTATTCCACTAATAGCACTCTTTGTTTGATTTCAAAGGCAAGCCATGGAGTTAGCATGGGTTTAGTTTGCGGATTAGGAGTGATGGGATGGACCCAACCCTGTTTTTAGGAGGGTTCAACCTACTTCATGTTTAGTTTGGAGGTTGGGTTCATCATATGATTTTTGTTTGGTTAGAGGTATCGATTTCATGGGTTTGGAGGTTGGGTTCTCTGCTCCTTATTTTCTCCCCCGTCCATATAGCTGCTTGCTCAGACTCCCCCACAGCCACTCTCCATCCAGCCCGACACTGCCCAACAGTTCACCGACCGCCCCAGCTGAGCAACTCCCTGTCCGCCGCACCGCCACTCGGAATCTCTGTCCGCTCTTGTTGCTGCTAAGCCTCCCAGCCATTCCCCATGCTGCCGGTGCGCCGTGCTCCTGTCATGAGTTGTCCCATGATGCGATGCTTCCACCGAGGCTCACATGTCTCAGCGTGCCGCCCGATGTGGCCATTGCCCGCCGTGCTCCTTGCCATCGCCTCCTCGCCCCTCGCTCATGCCGCTGCCTTCAATTGGGCTGCGCTGATGCTTGCTGCTGGTGTCCGATGCATCGCATGCGTGCGCAGACAATGCATGAAGCGAAGTAGGTTGTGCTGATTTCTTTGTTTTGCAGGGATAGAACCAACTCTCATCTTGGGAGAATGTTCCCTCTTGGGATGGACCCAACCCACTGGGACCTCAAACAAACACTTATAAATATGGGTCCGATCCATCCCAACTTACATGGACCCTTTAAGCAAACACACGGTTAGTTACTGGCAATTACAATATGGTAAAGGACTAAAGGGGGCGGGGGGCAGATAGAGATTAGATTTTGGGAATATCTGTCGAAAGATAGGATATTTCTTGCTTGGTTTTGGAATAGATGCATGGCTTCCTTGTATTGTGGACGCAGACCCCCAACTTTTGATAACAGCATTTGGTTTCCTGATTCCTAGAACTACTATGAACCCAAACTGTCATCAACTCAGAACCTGTTGCTCCTAACCACATTGAAGTCCTCCTGGACTCTTGCGATACAGCTCAAGGTTCTTAAGGCATCATCTAGTGCCTTGAGACCTCACTCCTAGATTACTTTGTTATTTTCAACCTTGCTGTCTGCTCTTATGGTTGGGTCTCGTGGGCCATGACACAACATTGCCACCTTGGATGAAAACAGGGAACTATCATGGATGCAGACTCTGAACCTTTCCCAGATGGACCAGACTTCCTAAATCCTAATTCTCTCTTGATTTTGTTCCTTAATTCACCCGAACAATTGTGTGCCTGAACTATTCTGGTTAGATACAACTTCAGCCCTATTTTCTAATGCTAGGCTGCTAGCCCAAACTCAAAACTCCCTGAGGACTCCAACCTATGTTCCTCCTGTGCTACTCAATGTATGTGCTGGCTCACTTGCTGCACCTCACGCTTGAGCTTACTTTACTAGAACTTCTCTCAAGTTGTGATGTTTTATGTTTTTGGAAAGGCATAGATGGATTTTTTTTACTTCCAATGTATTATAAGCCAAGTCCTTGTTTGTTGTCAACCTTTAGCTGCCTTTACCAATTTGCAGGTTTGATTTCTGTATAGTTCTTAAATCTGAATCACCATTTTGTATTTCTCTCATCTCTTTTGTAAAACATGTGCCAGGTTTTGCAAGTGTGAGATGCCATACAATCCAGATGATCTTATGATCCAGTGTGAGGAATGTTCTGACTGGTGAGCATATAGATGAAGCATGCTGTCCTAAGAAATTTTTTTTAATACACCATGCTATACCTCTTTTCCTCTGGTGCATTGTTTAATTCAATTGATTGCTTTATTGGTGTATGAATATGAATGGGTGGATTTGTTGTTTTTGTTTGAGATTGACATGAGATAGGAATACTGTACTGGCCAAAAACGAATTACTTTCCTTTCGTACATTTGTACGGTTACGTAGTGTAAGTGTGTAACATGATATTCACAGTGTACTCCCGCTGAGGACCAAAATAGTCAAAATAAATACATAAAGCACTATTTCTTAGCTTCTTTCATTTGCTAAAATAAAGTGTATTTACTGCTGTTCACTTACAACGAGTTGTGTTCTCAAATTGTTTACAGGTCATGATAGGTTAGCAGGGTGGCATTTTAATTTTTAGGCCTTTCACAATTCACATACATATTTCAATAGGAAGTGTTGCCATTAAGATTTAAGGTCCATTTGGAACTATATCTGAGCATTGATTGGTTCATGGCCCTGTGCGCACGTATTCAGTCACTTTGTGCCCTTTTAGGCTGTATTGGTATACTTTCTATAACAACTCTCTTTTTCAGGTTTCACCCTGCTTGCATTGGGATGACAATCAAAGAAGCAAAGAAACTTGAACATTTTTTCTGCCAGACCTGTACAGCTGAAAATGGGAAGATGGTTGAGAATTCACATGAAGCTACAGCGCAATCAGAAGAAAAGGTTAGCTGCACGTGATGCTAGTTGCTGCTTATCATTAATTTAAGTTTGCTTTGCTACTTAAAACTACAATGCAAATCGTAATTATGCTTCTAATAATAATAATATAACTTAAACTGATCTCTTCAGCCGGTGGAGTCAAAAAGGCGGCGAAGGTGATGGCCCTGCTGATTAAATTTATGAAATCCATGCTGGGTTGTACAAAAAACCTTCCCAAGTTTGAGAACTGTAATTTTATTGTTCGTGGCAGTTTGTGGTTCAGGGGTCCCTCTAATGTCAGGCAAACAGTGTACATAGCTTGCAACCTGATCAGATTGTTGTATTAGAGCACACTAGGATTTGTGTGGTGGTAGCATCGGCAGTCGGACTATTGGAGTATGTGTAGAGTTGTATGGCATCCTAATGCCAGCATCAGGTGATCAAGCTTCTTCTGGGCATTAGGACCCTATCCGGCTGGCTGGAAAAACGGCCGATACTGATGCCGATGCTGATTTGTTGTGAAAGAAAAACACTGTGATTTCGCTGAAACGGTGCGGCTGATAAGTTCAAGTGAACAGGGCCCAGGTCTTCTGCATATGATCGATCCAACAATAGTACTTCCATGCAGCTGCAGCTGGACCTGGCTAGTCAGTCACTAGTAAGTTGTCAGGAAAAACTTTGTATTGTCATGTGAACTTTTTTTGAATTGAAATCTTCTATGTGATGCAAGCATCTTAGTGTGGTACTTGCAAAACTGTTGCATGAAATTGGACACCCACCCTGGCCCATTGGCTGTGGTTGCATATTTGCGTCAGTCAGCATGTGTTTAAGTTTGGATGAATGAACAATAATAAAGTTCAAAGTTTGAGCTAATTGAACTGGTCTTGCTCAATGTAACATACCCTCACATTTTGAATTATATTTTTGAGTTATGTGATGTTTATTGAAATTACGGGCTAATAAATTGGTGGCCAAATTATGCTTTGTCAGGTTTAAGTATTTAACAAGGCATAGCTGGACAAATTTGATGACGAAGAAAGAGATTCAAAGAAATTCGTGTTCACGCTAGCGGTCCAAAACTGCGGCTGGCACGAACGCGCTCGACGCTGGGTCCGCTTCCGTGCCACTGCCACGCCTCGCCTCGCCGCACTGCGCGCTGGTCCCACTGGCCTCGCGTCGCGCCGGACAGCCGCACGCCCACGCCTTCGCTGTCGCCGTACTGAACGGGCTCAACTCGAGCTGCAACCTGCTGACTACTGAGCAAAGGTGTGTTTCCTGGATGCTATCATGCAGTTTCTGCTTCGTTTCCTCTGCCAGTATTTATGGGTGAAATCGACGTCAGATCTTGAGCGTACCTTAGGTCTTGCACTGCTGCTGTTTTTTTTTTCTTTTTTTGAGGGGTTGCACTGCTGCTAGTTACTCTGGAGCCTTTTGGATTTTTTTTTGTTTCTTTTGAAGAAATGGATTGGGAGATTTGGATCCGAATCCTTAGGATTTAGCTTAAATTTGAGTAACCCTCCAATGTTCTTAGAGCAAGAGCAATCCCCTTCTTCTAAACACATAGTAGAAAAATTAGGTTTTTTATTGTCACATGACTCAGCAATGGGATGTTTGTGTTGCCACTATGAGTAAATTACATTGGACTCGATTTCAATAGAGGCTAATCAGCTGTTTCGATCTGTTTATCTGAAATTTGATTATGCATTCAACTCAATCTCAACCGGGACTACTTGAAATGGATTGAAGACAATATACCTTGGACAGGATAATGCAAAAGTTAACAGATCAAAGCTTAAACCATGAATTTTGCTACAAGAATAATGGGGCTGGTGTTTCCATAGTGTCCACTGTCCAGCGATGTGATTCTTCCTTTCCGTAACATTTATGCATGGTTATTTCTCTGCCTGCAGGATTAAGCCCACAAGAAAGCACCTCGCCAATGCTGAATCTTAGGAACAGTTTCTGCAAGAAAAAAAAACGTAAAAATGGCAGAAGCTTTGGTCATAGTGGTTCTTCAAAAGATTACCTCTGCACTTGGAGAAGAGGGATTGAAAATTATCAGTTCGAAGTTACAGAAGCAGGTACCTGACATGCAAGAAGTAATCCACAGAATGAGTCTGGTCCAAAGTGATTTGTCGATGATGCAAGCATTCATAAGTCAAGTAGATGCTCGTAGTTCCAGTGATAAGTTACTGGAGGCCTGGCTGGAACAGGTAAGACAAGCGGCACATGAAGCTGAGGACATTGTTGACGAGTACATTTATCTTGTTGGCCAAATGGAAGGAACAAACAGTTTCCTAAAGAGAGCATTGAAACAAGCAGCAGAGATTAAAAGATGGCGCAAGCTTGCAGCCCATGCTAAATTCGTGGAGGATTGTCTTAAAAAGATCACTGAGACAAAAAACCGGTTTGATGTATCAGTGGCCGACAGTAGGAGAGATAATTCATTGAGTTATTCTAGCAGACTCCAACATCTGTCTGAACACTCGTACCTGAATGATGATGTTTATTTTGTGGGGAACAAGGAAGAGGATAAGTGCTTAACAGAATGGCTATCTGATTTGAGGAAAGACCGCACTGTTATCTCCATATGTGGAAGGATTAGGTAAGACAACAATTGCTAGTAGCATCTACAAGAAGGAAGAAATTAAAAGAATGTTTATCTGCCGTGCATGGATCTCAGTATCTCAAAATTACAGGGCTAAAGATCTCCTCCAAAAAATCCTACTGCTGCTTATGGCAAAAAGCGAGAATATTCCAGATGGGCTTGACACTATGGATTGCATGAATTTAGTTGAACTACTTAGAAGATATCTTAAGGACAGGAGATACTTAATTGTGTTGGATGATGTATGGAGTAGGGACTCTTGGCCTTTACTAGATAGTGCATTTGTCAAGAATGACAACGGGAGCCGAATCATTATTACGACTCGAATCCAAGCTGTGGCATCCGTGGCTGATTCAAACCGTGAAATGAAGCTTTGTTTACTACCGAAGGAGGAAGCATGGACTCTTTTCTGTCAAAAGGTCTTCTCAAGATTAGATGATAGAAGTTGCCCCATCAGCCTTAAGACCTGTGCTGAAAGAATTGTAGGTAAGTGCCAAGGTTTGCCACTGGCTCTTGTTGCTTTAGGGAGTCTTCTATCCTACAAAGAAATGGATGAGCATGAGTGGGAATTGTTCTATAGACAACTTAGGTGGCAGCTGAGTAGCAACCCAGAGCTGAGCTGGGTTGCTAGTGTTCTGAATCTTAGTTACAATGATCTCCTAGTTACTTGAAGAACTGTTTTCTTTACTGTGGTCTGTTCCTGAAGACTATCAGATAGAACGGAAACAGCTAATCAGACTCTGGATAGCTGAAGGATTTGTTCAGGATAGAGGAGCTGAGATGACACTGGCAGATGTAGCTACATGTTACCTGAAGGAGCTAGCTGACCGTTCATTGCTTCAAGTTGTCGACAGGAATGAATATGGAAGGCCAAAGAGGTTTCAGATGCATGACCTTGTGAGGGAGATAACTCTAACAATATCCAAGAAGGAAAAGTTTGCTACTGCATGGGACTATCGATCTCGTCGAGTTTCCGTACAGAAGGATGGTATTCTGATGCCGGTGAAAATTTCTGCACAGCTCAGGTCCATCATCGTGTTTGTGGAGGAAGTATCATTGTCTTGGTTTAGGGACTGTTATCCAAGTTTTAGATTGTTGAGGGTCTTGAGCCTGAGACACTGCCATATTCAGAAAATACCAGATAATGTGTCTAATTTGTTTAACTTGCATTACCTTGACTTGGGATATACATTACTCAAGGAGATACCAAGATCTATTGGGAAGCTTAGCAATCTGCAAACGCTGTATCGCAAGGGTTCTGTACTCGAGTTGCCAAGTGAAGTAACTATGTTAACAAAGCTTCAGCACCTAATTATAGATGTTGGAAGGTTTGGAAGTTCAGCAAGTAACAAAATATGTCGCCAGGAACATCTGCAGACCCTGAAATACATAGAAGCCAACGGCTGCGTTGTTAGAAATCTTGGATGCTTGACTAGGATGAGAAGCCTTGGCATTAGGAAGGTGCTAGAATCCTACAACACAGATTTGTGGACTTAAGTAAGCAATATGAAAGCTTTGGCTTCGTTGTCTGTGATTGCAGCTGATCGCGACAGAGATATTCTAGATCTGTCAGACATGAAACCGTTACCATACCTGGAGAAGCTTATGTTAAGTGGCAGGCTAGATAAAGGAGCTATTCCTCCTCCGTTGGGCCACTTCCCCAAACTGAAAAGCTTACGGCTTTGCTTTTCTAGGCTCCATGAAGACCCACTTGCTTTACTTTTTTTTAGAGGTCAACGACGGGGTGTTCAGAATGAACCCCACCTGACTTTCATTCCACAGATGTTGCCTTGGTGGTGGAGGGACCGTAGCCCAAAAAACAGTTGTCTGGTTACAAGTTAAGGAAGGAGGAGGAGATTACATGTTGGAAGTAAGATTACACCAAAAGAGGTAAACAGGGGTGTTGTTCCTAGGCAAACGACATTGCCACAGCTTGGTGTTTTGGCCCCACTTGCTTTACTTGCTGTCATGTTTCAGAGTCTAGGCCACCTTAACCTGTATCGGTGCTAATGATGAGGCTGACATTTCGTGCCAGGTGGTTCCCTGTGCTCAAGCACCTCTACTTGAGCTCCATGGGTGAGTTGAAGGAGGTTGAGATTGAGGACGGCACCTTGAGAACCTTGCGTCGGCTAGAGCTCTGGGGCTTGAAAAGCTTGACGTCGGTACCAGAGGGCCTTAAATCACTCCAACAGCTGTGCGTCGGCTCGATGATGCCTGAAGAGTTCATAACAAGGTTAGAAGGATGCGATCGATGGATTGTTGAACACATCCCCTACATTGGAGATCCGTGATCGAGTATAGTCACGTGTAATCATCAATCCTATGCCTTGTCATTAAGTGATGCAGTTGATTCCAGAAAAGTTTGATTATTTGATCTTGTCTTGTTATGTTTCATGAGAATTGTTGGTTTAATCTGTTGTATCTTGTCATTGAGGGTGCCCCAGCTAATGTATATGCATGCTGTTCATGCTTCAACAAGCTACACTGTTTTCCTTAAAATTACAGTGCTATCACAAAATAACACTTAATGCCCTTCCTTGGCATGCATTCAGCGAAGTTTAGTTGAATGATGAAAACTATAGAATAAATCTGTCTTCGCCTTAGCAGACTTACAGAATAATAACGTTTTTAAAAAAAATTAATAATAATAATAATAACATATTTTGGAGAGCATATCGGCCTAAGATGCAACTAACAGCTTGATGAGCAAAGAAATGATGAGTTCTCTCAAAAATAATGGCACCCAGCTGATGGTTTGTGGCACTGTGCAGGCATGAATGCTCAGGCAGGAACAATCAGAGGAAGGGATCGTGCAGGCCTGAAGAAAAGACCATATGTTGGCTGAACCGCTGACTATTCTGGCTTCTGAAAATACGGCCGCGATTAATAATGCAGAGAATTGTGCGAAAGCCACATGTAGATTCAAATAAAATATCTGCATTCATACATGAGTTGCAGAGAAGCTCCTTGATTTGCATTTGTTTCAATTCGCTGCAAGTAAGTTATTTGCAGAAACATGAGTACATGATTTATGAGAATTTCACTATATTTTGGCAGTGCCAAAACGGCTGTAAAGGGCCTATTCGCTTGAACTTATCAGCCGGCTTATCAGCTATAATCTACAGTATTTTTCTCTCACAACAAATCAGCTTCAGCCGACTTATCAGCCGGTTTTAATACCAGCCGAACATGCCCCTCTTGCTACTGAGTATTCTCTGTTAAAATGTTGAACTTGGTACTTGGAAGATAATCTCGCCATGGCAACTTTTGCCTTCTCTTATCTGTCATAGCGTGACGTGAGATTCTGTTGCCTGATGCTCTACTTGGACTGTTGATAACTGAATCTTGGTGCAAAGTCGGGCCGCCGGGTCGACCAACGACCATGGGCCCTAGCCGTAGGCTCGGGCCAGTGTTTGTTTGAAGGGTTTTCCCACGGTCCGATCCTAAACTTTTTTTTATAGGAAAAAGTCCATTTTACCTTGTCAACTATCCTGAAAATCTAGTTTTCCTCCATAAACTCCAAAATCGAGTAAACCACCTCCATCAACTTTTAAAACCATTCATTTTACCTTCCTGGCCTAGTTATAAGTGGTTTTCAAAGACAATTTTGTCTTTTTCTTTTTTATTAATTATGGCTGAATTTTTTTAAAATCATAGTAAATCACATAAAATTTATAAAATGGAAAATCTAATTTTTTTTGACTCTACAAGAGTAGATATACACAGTGAATATATAATATAGTATACTTTAGTACAAAGTTTTATGGTGTGCTAATTATTATATGATTGAACTGTAGTAAAAACTTTATAATAAAGGATACCATATTATATGTTTACTATGTAGATCTACTCATGTGGAGTTCAACAAAATTGGATTTTCTATTTTATGATTTTTCTGTGATTTACTATGATTTTTCAAATATTCAGCCAAAATAAAGAAAAAAGGAAAAGACAAAACCGCCTTTGAAAAATACCTGTAACAGGGTCAGAGAGGTAAAATGAACGGTTTTAAAAGTTGTTTTCGAGTTTCGGAAGAAAAACTAAACTTCGAAGATAGTTCAAGGAGGTAAAATGGAATTTTTTCTTTTTTAAATGATGAATGTGATCGTCTAGACTTCTGGAGTAAAGCTGGTGATTCACGGGTTGGGCGGGCTTTAGTCCTTTCGATAATGCTCAGGGTCCGCGTCCGTCCGATTGGACACCGCTTCCGTGCCTGCGTGCTACCGTCCTAACAAGCCTGTCTCTTCCTCTGTACGTCTCTCCTCCATCTCTCTCAAAAATATCTTCCTACTCGCTCGTCCATTGCACACTTCACAGTGCCTTGCGGCCGTGAGGCCGCCCCACTCCGCATTCGCAGCAGCAGCCATCTCCCCCGCGCGTCCTCATCCTGCGCTACTCGCTCCTCGCTCGTGCCCGTCGCACACCCTACCCGCGCCTATTGCTCCTTGCTCCTACAGTCCCACCCTGTCGCGCACCCACCTACGTCGTCGGGTGCGCCGCCCGCCTCTGCTGGTGCTGGTGGTGCTGTCGTGCGCCTCAAGTCGGTCCCCACCGAGCCAAGGGAACCCACAAGCGCGGCCCGTGCTGGTGGTGCTCACCCGTTGTCGCTCGGCGCCGGCTCCCACTCCGAGGCCGAAATAAACTGGCACTGGGCTCTCCTTCCCTCTATGTTGCAAGTGTATTTTTCAAGTGTTTCAGATGTTATCAGAGGTACGTTGCAAGTGTTTCATATGGATGTTGCAAGTATTTCAGAAGCATGTTGCAAGTGTTTGTTTAGAAAGTTTCATCTGTTTCAAACGTATGTTGCAAGCATTTTTTTATCTAGACATTGCACATGTTTCACATATATATATATATGTTGCAAGAGTATGTTCGAAATGTTTCAGCTGTTTCAGTCTTACATTGCAAAAAGTGTTTTCACGTTGCAATTGTTTTATCTGGATGTTGCATATGTTTTACACACATGTTGCATGTATGTTCCAAATGTTTTATCTACTTCAGACGTATGTTGCATGTAAGTGTTTCATGTTGCAAGTATTTCCATGTTTATGAGGTATGTTCAAAAAGTCATGGGGGAGGCACGGCGTGGCAGGAGAAGAAGTAGCAGAGAGAGGAGCGGCAGATGGGCGCCTGGCGTGCCTAGGATCTTCTTGACAGGCGTGCTTGTCCTCATTCCATCTCTCGGGTTTAGCCACGCGAGAGAGGGAGGATTGGGGAAGAAGCGTGGTAGCAGGCGTGGGGCGAGGATGGGGCGGGCGAGGCGAACAGGGGGTGCAGCGTGCGAGGTGAGACGAGGCAAACAGGGATGAGCGTGCTTGCGCAGCTTAAAAGCGATGCATCGGCTGGTATGGCAGGAGGCTAGCGACCGAAGGTAGGGTCGAGCGATGGCGTTTTTGATGGGCCATTACGCTAGCCCATTCGGTAAGAGTGTGTCCAGGTTACCGTCTGACAGAATCCTATCCGTGGGACATCGGGAGACTAGCAATGTCCTAGTCCTTTAGATCGGGCTGTGAAAAACCGACAAAAGCAATGGGTAGAGGTTTTTTTAGAAAAGCAATGCCGAAACCTGACAGAAAACTCAAATTCTCCGCCGGTTGCCCGAGCTGGGCCAAAATTTGCAGCCCATGACCACCCAATGTGCAAGCCCGATTAGTGCTGATTGGGTTTCGGTCGCGTCGGGTCAATTTTTCGGGTCAGGTAACTAGTACACGCACACGATTCTCAAAAAAAAAAAAAAAAAAAAACTAGTACACGCACACGTGCAGAAGGCGCGTGTTTTTTGTTTTTTTTTGGTCCCGATAATTCTGCCACGGCATAGCATCAACTCGTCCGTCTCCCAGACGCTCATCTGCGGCAGCCTACTGCTCTCAGGCTGTTGGCATTGGCACTCCACTTTCCACCAGACGCAACGCAAGCGCCCCCCTCCGCTCCGCTCCTTCCTCTCAACTCCGAGGCGAAGCCGGAGGACGGCATGGCGCGGCGCGAGGCGGCGAGGCTTCTCCACCGCCTGGGCCCGCTCGCCGTCGAATCGCCGACGCGAGGTGAATTGCTGGTTTAATTTTCCCTGTTGGTCCGGGAGGTGCTCGTGCTCGTGCCCGTGCCCGACCGGGTACCTACCTGCTGTGGGGCCTGGGTTTTGTCCCCGAGCCGCCCGTAGTGCGTAGAGCGGGATTAGCGGTGTTCGGGTGTGGGATCACTTCAGTGTTGATGATCTGGCACAATTCTGTTGCAATCGCGCTCCTAGTCAATGGGAACTTTTATCTGTTGGTGTTGGAGCACCAAGCTAAGCTGCAGATGCTTCATCACACTCGACTCTGTTAATTATTACTGAAGTTACCAGAATGGCAAGACATATGTTGCAGGTGTTTGCTTGATGTAGCCTGTGCTGTCATGGCGGTTAGCGATTCAGCTAGCGATGTAGCATCAGAATGCAGCTTCGAATAGAAATTGATTTTTTTTATCATTTGGGGCAAGTTTGCGCAGCAGAGTATTACTAGGTTGATTGAAGAGCTGGTAGTGCATGGTGTACGCCAATCTTTGACGTAGTTACTTAAATGTGTTTGCATAAGTGCTTGTTTGGTTGGTTTATGAGACGAAGAATATGTCAGGTTCACAAAACATTTTAGATTCGTTCAATAATAACCCAATAAATGTGACACCAAGCCATGTTGTTTGTGGAGTAGTACCAATCTTTAGGGCTTGAGCATTATTAGAAGTAAAGAATTACAGAAGTAGATTTTTTTTTCTGTCAGTGAGGATAGTGGTAGCTTTAACAGTAAAGAATCAACGATTAGATTTTAGTGAGAATTTGAGCATATGATAATCTTTACTGTTCGAATACAGACTGGTAACTAGATATCTTTGGCGATCCCTGTAAAATTCGAGAATTTTGATTAAAATCTGATGATAAATTATGCTTTTCAGGCATGCCTCATAGTCAACATGAATCCACAAACCGCATTGTGAATTCTTGTAGAAGATTCCACTGGATTCCCAGTCTACAGCGCCCTCTGTGTGGACCTACAACTAGTGGGGGAATATATGAAGGTCAAAGCAGTGCTAACAAGGCTTGTGAAGTTCAGAAGCGCACATTTGGTTCTGCTGCAACACACATTCAGAGGAATCCAGCCTATTCAGAGCTGAACTCTGATGATGTTTCTTACTTCAAGAGTGTCTTGGGTGAAAATGGTGTAGTTCAGGATGAAGACAGAGTCATGAGTTGCAAATGTAGATTGGATGGGTAAATACAGGGGTGCAAGTCAGCTATTACTTTTAAAAAATACTACAGAGGTATTTCATCAGCCAATTTAGTGGGCATTTATTTTCTTGAATAACTAAGTAGTTACCATCATTTTAACATAGTTTATTACTTTATTAGTGTTGTTCAGACTTTGTGTACAATGTGTAATTTCCTCAATGATCATTAATTTTCTAAATTTCTGAAATCGCTCTTTTGCATATACCATGGTGTTATCAAATCCATGCAAATAACATATCTTATGCTGGTTCTTTAAGTGGTTCACATTTTCTTTGTCATGAAGATTTTTTTAATCACTGCTATTCTTGTTCAGACACAAGAAAAGAATTAGTGTGCAAATTCTTTATTCAAACATTCTGTTTCCAGGTTTCTAAGATTCTTTCATATTGCAACACCAGACGATTGGCTGTGGTTCCACAGGGTGGCAACACAGGTCTTGTAGGTGGCAGTGTGCCTGTTTATGATGAGGTAATTGTATTTCTAAAGTTTTTTAATCTGTGCCAGGAATGAAATGTTGGAATAATATTCATTTTTCGCTAGGATCCGTCCTATTGTTTATGCAAATCATAACAACTTTTCTTTGCTGTTAACTAGAAAAGGCTGAGCTATTTTGCTGCAAATATGTGGGCTATATGTTTATATGGACTGACAAGAACACGAGATAAATTGTGAAATATGGGAAAAAGATCACATAGACCTTGTTCAATTTCAGTGTTATGCTTAATGTTATCTTTAGTATTTATTATTTTTTTTTTAACATTTCTCCCATATTTTCTATTCTTATGCTTATTGATGTGTCAAATTAGTTTTGTTATCTATGCAGTGGTTCTGCATTTGTAGTTTTTACTGTTCATAATGTTGATGTCCAAGATCACTGATTAATGTTTTATGCCCTTGTCTGCAGGTGATTGTTGGCCTCGCAGGCATGGACAAAATCATTTCCTTTGATAATGTGAGTTCAATTTCTTTTGCCTGGTTCAGTACCTTGTATTTTGTTGTATTCTCATTAGTTGCTTCTTCAAATGCATCCAAGGGTCACGAGAAATCCTTGAATAGTTTACAAAGAAGGTGCCAACTTCTAAGTCTGCTTATTATGGTGTTGCTAGGTAAATGGTATTCTTACTTCTGAAGCTGGTTGTGTGTTGGAGAATTTAAGTAAGCTCGTGGAAAATGAAGGGTAAAGTTATATTTCGCAGTTTTTCCCTAGATGTTTGTTCTGATTTCTATTCCAAAGGCTTGTGCTGGTCTGCTGGATATGCTACTATGCTTTATTCACAGATAGTGTGTTAAGTATTGAGTCATCAATAAAGGTCTCATACTCATCTGTTCTTGCTTGTGGAATCGCTAATGATTGTGACAGGTCCCAGAACATTTTTCATTCCTTTTAGTTCAGTTCTTATAAGATCCTTTTTTTGCCACCCAATAGGCCTACATAAAGTCTGTAACTTCCTATGGTGCATACATACTGAAAAATCTTGACTAAATTTGTTTATCTCCATTTTCTGAACAAAAGAATTTACAATCATGAGCTACCCTTTAGGGAACACCAATTCTTTGGTTTCCATGCTGGAAGCCTAATTGGTCTTGATCTGCTTCTCAGGTTTATTATGCCACTTGACTTGGGAGCAAAAGGTAGTTGCCACATTGGTGGGAATATTTCAACTAATGCCGGTGGCCTGCGTTTCATACGCTATGGTTCACTTCATGGAAGTGTACTCGGTAGGTACGTATTGATCTTATAATTATAATTTTAACACAATATACATGTATCTAAACTCTCAGGGATCTGTACTTTCCTTTTAAATTATGTTTGTTCCCATACAGGTCTTGAAGTTGTCCTGGCTGATGGGACTATCCTTGATATGCTTACTACTTTAAGGAAAGACAATACTGGGTATGATTTGAAGCACTTATTTATTGGTATGTACTGAGCGTGATAACTACTCCATGACCACTGTGAAAGCAGTATTATTTTTGCAACACCAAACAGTTAGTGAATACACAACTTATCGTTCAGGAAGCGAAGGCTCACTAGGAGTAGTCACCAAAATATCAGTACTTACGCCTGCAAAGCTACCATCAACTAATGTTGCATTTCTTTCCTGCAATGACTACAAAAGCTGTCAGGTTCATTTGCCTTGGCATTCTCTACTTTTTTTTTACAAAAGTAAATTTATTCAATCTTTCTATGCATGAGGTCTTCAATAGTGATTACTGTTTACTGATCGTGTTCCCAGAAATTACTTCTGGCAGCAAGGAGGAGCTTGGGTGAGATCTTGTCTGCATTTGAATTCATGGATCATCACTGTATTGATCTGGTACTTACATATGAAATTCTTTTGAATTAAGTTATGCATCATAGAGTGAATTAAGACCCACAAATTTGTTATTTATCATCATTTTAATATCTAAGCTAATAACTAAATTGGACCTTCCTCAACTTTGCCCCCACATTAGACCCAGCTTTATGACACAGGCTGACATTTAGAACAGGGGATGAAATTGTGAATCCCTTGCTAGGTTGATCAGTTTGATGCGATGAAATATGCCTTTGATATTCTTATACATCAATAAGCCCTTGAAAAGAACTTGATTTTCTAAGGTGCTCCTATATACAATGAAATATTTCATTATATTGTCTGCTTTGCATATTTAGATTGTTTTTTGATAGATCGTTTATTCTGGAGGCTATGCGACATGTGGAAGGAGTTCACAATCCGTTACCTGCATCACCGTACAAATTTTATGTTTTAATTGAGACAACAGGAAGTGATGAATCATATGACAAGTAAGTTATTGTAGAAATAGAACATGATTCAACAATGATCATTTGTCGATGTTTATGACAGTAGAGGTTATTACTGTTGCCCTTTGATTCTGATTTATCTGTGACTATTGCTAATTAGAGAGAATGTAATACCTATTTCACTTTTTTTTTATTCATGAGATTTATCACATAGTAAAAAAGTTTCTGCTTCCATGAAGCTTTCTATCTTTGTACTGATTTTCTATATTTTGACATTACTTTGGTGAAAAATAATAGCACAAAAGAAATTGTTGTCCTTTATGGATATGGACTAGATGAATAGATGATGATTTCTGTAGCATGTTTTCGTCTGAAACATATTTATTCTGTGACCTGTCAATTGACATTATCTTATTGGCATATGCTTGAGAGAAAATTGACAATTGCTCTGGGGAAGATCAATTATCATGCCAACTTGCAGTTACTGAGATTAGGCTGTTCGTCTGTGTATCTTGTGCTTAAAACTATTGTAGTTTCTCATCATGTCTTTTTTCTGGCTTTCTTTTGTAGAACAAAACTGGAAGCATTTTTGTTGCGTTCAATGGAAGATGGTCTAGTAGCTGATGGTGTTATCGCGCAGGATATCAGCCAAGCAACAAACTTTTGGCAGATCCGTGAGGTTGTCATCCTATAATCAATACTCTGTTTATCTCTTATACGGTTATACCTTAATGTTGACTGATGAATGTTATGTCTGTGCTGAAACTTGTCAACCATCAGTATCAAACTGTACTGGCATGTAGTAGCTAACATTTAACACAGATGCTCATGTTTACGGATTACAAAATGATTCAATGTCTGATTTGAAATAAGATGAACTATATATTTTTTTTCTTTGGAACATGCGGTTTGGTTTTTCCAGTTAAATCCTTCAAACCTAAAGCTTCAAGTGCCAGACTGTTGTTGTCGGCGTGACACAGACCAACTTTCAAATGCACAAAATGATGGACCATGTAGCGATAAATCTTAAGATTCTGCTTCTGTTGTTGTTCTTGCAGGGTATATCAGAAGCATCTGTCAAAGTTGGTGCTGTGTATAAATATGACTTGTCCATACCTGTAGAGAAGCTCTATGATATTGTTGAAGAAATGCGCTGCCGTCTTGGTAATTGCGAGACTTGATCTACAAAAAATCTATGGGCTTCCAGTTAACTTAGTATGTTGGTTTTCTAGGTGATAGCGCAGAGGTATTGGGCTATGGCCACCTTGGAGATGGGAATCTGCATTTGAACATTGTATCAAGCAAATATGACGACAATGTATGTTTTTTTATATCAATTTGGATACAACTTGGAAGTTGGATGTAGATTGTTTACTTATTGAATGCTTCAGTGTCTTGAGATGATTAATGGATAACCTTATCTTGTTTTTCCAATGGAATTTTAGACTCTTGGACGAATTGAACCATTTGTCTATGAATGGACTTCAGCACAAAGAGGAAGCATCAGTGCAGAGCATGGTTTGGGGCTAATGAAAGCTGAGAAGATTCACTACAGTAAATCACCTGAAGCAGTAAGTTTTCCATTGTCCTACCACCACTTTTTGAAGCATGTACATTATGAGTTAGGAAATGACCAATCATACTGAGCTGTAGACTTCATCGATTGAATTGCTACTTTGCTTGTGCATTCAAGCTACCTTTTTGCTTGGCAAAACTTATTAGATAGGTCATATGAATATCTGCACACACCAAGGCTTGTGTGCACCACCTTATTTTTGCACTCTTTTGTACATTATTATAGAACGGTACAATGTGCTTTTATGGGAGTCGGGAGATGCTTAGGTCCTTCCTACTTTGATTAGTCTATTAGCCGTCCCACATGTGGCATAGCTCAGTGGTCAGAACTGTTTTTAACTATCCCAGTAGCTAAATACAAGCAATGAGCTAATGCGCGGTTTTACTTTAAGAACAATGCACATGTTTGTATCGATTGGTTAGTGTTTGTAGTACATCACTAGTAACTCTAGCTACGCAGGATAATTCGAGCTGCCTTGCCCAACTAATGTTCTGTTTTCATTAGGTGCAACTAATGGCCTCCATCAAGAAGTTGCTGGACCCCAATTCGATCCTGAACCCCTACAAGGTTCTGCCGCAGTCAGTACTGTAGCTGAAGGTACTCTCTTATCCTATGGTTTAATAAAATAGAGTGACTTCCAAACTAATGTTTTCTCTTAATTTATGAAACTAATCGGTTTATGTCAAACCCCACTGCTTCCACCACCTGCAGGTTAGGACCTAACTTGCTGAGCTTGTGGCTGTGGCTGAGTAGAGCTGCTTGATGCTTGAGCTGGGCAGAGGCAAAACCAATAATTGAGGCGAACATGGGAGGCATGCTGTGGTTACTGCTCTGATGGTCCCACTAGGTTACCAAAAAAAAGGAAATCTCCCTCAACTTCACGGCGTTGAGAGGCAGCTGAAATAAGTCGAGAGTTGACTTTCCAAGTCTTCTCTGTTGGTGAAAAACTCAAAATGGCAAGTTGTTGAATATAGATTAAGACGTAGGAGACTTTTTTTTGCTAGTTTTGGAGCGCGCCACACACCATCATGCCTGCCAGCTAGCGTTTTCCCCAAAAATGTCACATCATGTAAAATGAAATAAAATATGAATGAAACATCCATCCTCAACATAATTTTGCCAGTATTGTTTTATAGATATTCAATCTCTTTTCTTAAATACGTTACCAGTCATAAAAAATGTCTACGTGACAGCCTATTAATTAAATACAGATAAAAATCACATAAAATTAATATTAAGACTGGCCTAACTAATTGGAGCTAGCAGATGTCATCCTGATGAGCAAGGTTCATATGCTGCAATTTATTCTCTGTTGTGGACATCTTGTATGCTATTAGATGTTGTCCTGAATTGTACTGACAGCATTCGAATTACGATATTCTCGAGTTCAAGTGGCAAGTTAAATGAGGAATGACCATGCATATTCAGCCTGCTAAAAGGACGGGAGCTCATAGGCATCTGGTGACACGTCGTCCTCTTCTGTGTGCAATTCATCCTCAATGAATAATCAGTGGCACCAATTGGATTTAACCGTGAACATGCCGCCATAATCTTCATCTTCAACGATTAACAGCCCTTCCGCTTCAAATAAAATTTTAAAAAATGGAACAAGCAACAGAACTATTTCAGGGCAACTCGCAACATTGGACACGGCATGAACTTGATGTGTTGCATATTTGTCACGGAATCTGAAACGCAGGAAGTTCAGTCGGAACATCTTTTCACCATGGGAAGCAGCTGTAAGCCAGAAACAAGCAAACAAGCCAGATGCATCTGCAGATCTGCCCTAGGCATGGCTAGTAAATTTGAATAGAACAAATGCATTTATCTGCAGCAGGAAAATATCACAACAAACCATCAGCTGCCTGCATAAACCACAGCTCTCTGAGCTTAACATTCTCATCTTATCTTACTCAACCCAGACTACACGCAGAATTACACCTTTCTGATTTTAGACAGACAAACGCAATAGCATCAAAGAGCTGAACAAATTGAAGATTGCTCGGCAAATAAATATCAGAGCAAACATCCATTTCCACAGATCTTCACATTGCCGCACAGCACATCTCAAGCATTATTGCCTTGTTGGTGCAAAAGTTCATCCACAATGCAAAATGTGGCACAGCTGTCTCGGCAAGCAGAACAGCAGGCTAATTCAAAGATCACATACTGCGTAAGTTCATTATTTAGTGCAAACTCCAAAGTAATTACACAAACATGCCGAATGGACCAGGATCACTGCCTACAGATTATGGTACCAACTTACTAATAGACAACTTTCAAAGGCTGAATAGCAGTCAAGCCGTAGTGAGGACACTAGACTAGAAGTGTAGTGGGGACAGACTTTTGGTAGGCTAGTAGTGTCCCTTAGCTACTAAGTTTTGTAGGCTTATCCTGCAGCTAGGACAGTAGGGTTTTTTTTTTTACTGCAGCACAGCAGCACACCTTCACTGGTTCCAGTTCACACACAAACTGGACCTACCCCTCTATGTATAAATATGCAACCATGGTAATGCAACAAGTAGTTCAGTTCACAGCAGCAGCACTAGCGTGCTGCAGCAGCAGCATTTTCCTTGTGTGTGTTCTGTTCTCAAGCTCATCTTCTGTCTACAGCCGTGAGTTGTGAGGTGTGAGCAAGGTGCTGCTTGCCTGTGCAGGCCAGCCAGATTCAACATTTGTCTTAGTGCATAGTATGCACCTGAAATTTATTATCTCGTATGAATTTTTACAAAAGGAGTTTGAATCTTAAATTTGGGGCAATGAACATCTATAGATGCCTTATGGATGTGCATGGTTTCAATTTTTTAAATTTTTTTAAGTCCTAAACTCCTAAGTATGTTTTTCTAGGAGATTTTCACGATTCCACCGAAAATGTGGTTTGCATTGAACTTTGTAATGTTTTTCTTTTTGAAGGCAAAAATTGTGGGAGAGATCCCACAGCACTTCATTTTATAAATTTTAAAGAGTTACAAAGGAGGACTTACAAACAGCTTAACTGTATGCATCTAGCCAAAAACAAAAGGAAGACCTCAGGTCATCACTAAAACGTAGGGACTGCAGGAGGCACTGATTTTTAAAATTTCTAAACCAGCTATCAACATGTGTACTACCATTCCTGAAGATTCTATCATTCCTGATCTTCCAAATCTCCCAGGCTGCAATAATCACCACTTCCATGAAAACGGTATGTTCTGCTGCTGCTTGGCATGGGCCAGACGCGAATTTAAACCGAGGCTTGTGTTCCAGTGTATGCCAATCTTCTCCCAGCAACTCTTGGCAAAGGAGCAGTTGGAAGAATAAATGATCTAGGTCCTCGTCTGCCCCTGAAATGCACATAACGCACTGGACTTCATCCTCGGCATGAAGGTTTCTTCTTCTTAGCATCGTCTTGGTATTCAACCTGTCAACAAGAATTAGCCAAGCAAAGAACTTCACCCTTGGCGTGCATTTGAACTTTGCAATGTGGTAATGCGAAATTTTGTTTCAAGAACAATGTAGATGTTTGTATTGATTGGTCAACATTTCTAGTAGTAATTTACCAGTAACTCTAGTTATGCAGGATCTTTCAAGTTGCCTTGCCCAAGTAATGTTCTGGTTTTTATTAGGTGCAACTAATTGCCTCCATCAAGTTGCTGGACCCCAAGTCAATCCTTAACCCCTATACAAGGTTCTACCGCAGTCTGTGCTGTAGCTAAAGGTACTCTGTTATCCTGTGTCTTCAAAGGGTGATTTCCAAACAATTATTTTCTCCCTACTCCTAATCGGTTTATGTCAAATCACACTGCTCCTGTCACCCGCAGGTTAGGACCCTGTAACTAGTAAAGGAGTTCGTTGCTGACCGGAGGTCCAGAGCTGCTTGATGCTTGAATGGGCTGAGCAGAGGCAATGCGAATAGTTGAGGCGAACATGCTTATCGGCGTGCGCCCGACGTCGTGATTCAGCTGGGATCTGATGTCACCTGGTCAGACCAGGTAGGATATTTTTTTTGAAACAATGACCAGGTAGGATCTGATGTCACCTAGAGAAAGAATGGTGGCCTGCAGGCTGTTGTAGTTCTTCAGCAGGCTGTCCTAGCATCCTAGGTCTAGGTATATGCATGATCATATTCCTCGTTTCACTCGTCACTCAAGACTTTCAAAATTCGCAGGACATCATTCCTCGTTTCACTTGTCACTCAAAACTTTCAGAATTCGCAGGACATCATAATTCGAATGCTGTCTGTATAATTCAGGATAGCATCTGCTAGCATATAAAGATGTCCACTAGAGAGAATAAATTACAGCATATAAACCTTGCTCATCAGGATGGCATCTGCTAGCTCCAATTGGCAAGCATCCGAAGTTTGAAAGTGATGTGGCTCTGTAGGACATGGGTGGTATGGGAACAACGGAACGAGAGAATTTCAGGAGAAAATCGGTACTTTACAGGGAATCCAGGGGAAATCGTTATCGTTACTTTCCCGCGGAATTCAGTAAAAGACCATACCAGTTAGGCATTTGTTGTGCTGTGTGCGGACAATATCGACAAAAAAAACGTATTTTACTTGAGCACTTCAATACTAACTTCCAGCCGTGTTCAGTTTCTGTTAAAAGCACGGGGGACCATGGATTATATGGTGAACACATCGTTCTCCTTTGTGTCCTAACTAATACATCCTCAATGAATAATCAGTGGCACCCAATTAGATTTAACCATGATCTTCAACGAACAACAGTCATTCAAAGAAAATTTTAAGAACATGGAACAAGCAACAGAACTATTTCCAGGGCAACTCGAAACTACATTGGACCCAGCATAAACTTTGTGTTGCATATTTATAACAGGATCTGAAACGCAGGAAGTTCAGTCGGAACTGATTACTTTTCACCACGAGAAGAAGCAAACAAGCCAGATGCATCTGCAGATCTGCCACCAACATCGGAACTGATTACTTTTCACCACGGGAAGAAGCTGTAAGCTAGAAAACAAAACAAACAAGCCAGATGCATCTGCAGATCTGCACCAGACATCGCTAGTAAATTTGAACAGAAGGCATTCATCTGCAGCAGAA